TTTTCCTTTCCCCGGCGACTTGGTGACAAGCAGCGTCGGGATCCGCACCTAAGCCAAATAATACAACGGATACAATCCTCTCCGCGCGACACCTCTGTACACATGTTTGTCTTAAGAGACAACACTTTAATTGCACAACTTGTAACCCACCGGGTCCGGACTGCTGGTCGTACCAAAGCACCTTCGCTCCATTGTCTTCCGCGAGCTTCATCAGGACGCACCAACCGCTGGTCACCTTGGCGTTTCTCGCACGCATGACCGTGTGCGCCGCCGCTTCTACTGGCCTGGTCTTCTCAGCGCCGCCAGGAGCCATCGGGACGTCCTGCCGGTTATCTTCAAGCTATCAATATTCCACCAGAGTCTTTCTTGAAAGCCGGTCTGGATCTTCTTGGTACGTTGCCAACATCCACTTCGGGCACCAAGTGGGTCGCCGTTAATATACCGATGACGCGACCCGCCACGTAATCACACGAGCCCTCCAACCAGTACAGATTATTTATTTATTTATTTATGAATATTGCAACCCTAACATAGGGTTTTGGCAGGGTGGATATACATTTGATAAGTTTACAAATCGGCAAACAAAATAAATATAAAACAGGTAAGGCATTTACACACTTTCAGAACGAAAAAAAAAGAACAGTGGTTTGTAATAAACCGGCATAAGAACATATAGAGAAATGAGCGCTAAATTCAAGATGATCACAAGTGGAGAATGGTTACAGTGATTGAAATAAACAACAGGAGCACATGTCATAGAAATTAGACACTCGCTGCTAGAGCTGCGCAGCAAAAAGGTTCAAGGATGACTGGGAAACAACTTCGTTACTAAGGTTATTCCATTCGCTAATTGTCCTAGGGAAGAACGAATACTTGAATGTGTTATTACGGGTGGAAAATGGGGTTATTGTAAAGGCATGCCTCTGCCTTGTGGTATATCCTGTGGACAAATGAAGTATATGTGATAAGTCTAACTTAAAATAACCTTTAACTAACTGAAAGAAAAATTTCAATCTCAATACTTTATTTCTTTGCGTAGGTGTTGGGAGGTTAGATTTTGCTAATAAACATGTTATTGAAGTATGACCAATACTGTTATAAATAAACCTAACAGCTATCTTTTGAATTTTCTCCATTTCGCTGATATTTTTTCTGGCGTAAGGGTACCAAATTATGGATGCATAATCTAAAGTGGGTTGAACAATTGCATTAAATGCAACAAGGTGAACGGCGGGAGTGGAGTGCGTAAGAGCTAGTCTAAGATAAAATGATTTGTAATTGCACGAGCTTATTACAGTGTTAATATGTCTAGTCCAGTTAAGGTCATTCGAAACCCAAAGACCAAGGTACTTGTAGTGTTGTACCTCCTGCAAAAAAACTTTATTGGCTGAATATGCAAAATGAAGAGTGTTACGTTTGTGAGAAATTTCCATGAAAACGGTCTTTTTAAAATTAACTGACATCTGTCATTTATCGCACCAACGAATGACCTTTTGAAATGCATCGTTTAAATGAATTTGATCAGCATGGTTTTCTATTTCCGAGTACAGGATGCAATCATCCGCATATAACTTAACTTTTACAGGTATATCATGTGATATATCATTTATAAACAATAAAAAGAGGAAGGTTCCGAGCACAGAGCCTTGGGGAACACCCGAGTCAACCGGTACTGTACGAGAACAATGCTCATTGAAAAAGACGTACTGTTTTCGATTCGAAAGATAACCGGAAATCCAATTTATAAGCTGAGTATTCTTAAGAATTAAATCCAATTTGAAGAGTAATTTATTGTGAGAGACCGTATCGAAAGCTTTAGCAAAATCCATAAAAATTGCATCTACCTGTTTTTCGGAATTCATAGATAGTGCGAAATCATGAACTGTAGTTACCAGCTGAGTACAAGTAGAAAATCCTTTCCCGAATCCGTGTTGTGAACCTGACAAAATATTGTGCTTATCTAGGAATTCTGAAATATTCTTATGTATTATATGCTCAAGTAGTTTACAGGAATTTGAAATTAATGAGATCGGCCGATAGTTAATAACAGAATGAGGGTTTCCACTCTTATGTAGGGGCTTGACTTTAGCAGTTACCCAGTCATCCGGAACTTGACCATCTTTCAGAGATTTAGAAAAAAGAATTGTTAGGTACTTTGAAACCCATTGTGCATAGCGTTTTAAGAACTCATTCGGTACTCCATCAGGACCTGAAGATTTTTTAACATCAAGCTTTAAAAGTAAATTAAAAACTCCCTCTTCACTTGTGACAATATCCGATAGGAGTGGGCCTGTCATATCAAATGTTTCCAGGACTCTATTATCCTTCGTGAAAATAGACTTAAAATGATCATTGAAAGCATTAGAAATAACAGAGGAATCACTAGTTTCCACTCCGTCAATTTCAAAAACATCAGTAGTCACAGGATTGGGCGAAATTAAACTCCAGAACCTCTCGGGAGACGAAGACATGGCAGACGTGGCTGAGTTTTCGCTTCGAGACATTATTCTAGTCCACGGTGCGCCACGTCAATTGCTGACAGACCGAGCCACACTTTACTTGCTCAAGTTATAGATTATATCCTGCATGCCTGCTCCACCCAGCGTAAGCTCGCGGCTTCGTACCACCCCCGGACAAACGGGTTTACAGAGCGTTTAAACCAAGGAGACCGACAAAACACAGACGAGCGCTGTCAGCGCTCGTCTGTGTTGTGTCGGTGTCCTTGGTCAGCAGACTGCTTTCTGAATACGTGTCGACCGACCACCATGACCGGGACCTTGCACTGCGTGACGTTCGCGTACAACTCCTCCCGCCATGACACTGCTGGCTACTCACATTTAGGGGCGAAGCTCCTAAAGGCGCGATTCTGTCCACCCTTTGTATGTATGTATGTACGTGACCACCTATAGTTCCACCTTTGCCAACTGCCCACCACTTCGTCCTTGCAAACATCCCACTATACGCCCCATCATCAATCCACCACTTCACCGACCATAAAGCCGTTATAATGAAGGGGGAACGGAAGCGACCACTTACGAGTAATAAAATTTTTTGTTTAAATATATACAGTGCTTGTCGCGCCTTTGATGATAAAGTGGACAATATTCGCGAATGGTTCACGATTTAGCGATGAAGCCCTCCAACACTTTGCCCCAGGCTCATCATCATTCACTCCGCGGATATGCCTCGACTTTTTTACCTTTTGTTTGGGCGTGAACCAACGTTGCCACTCGATTTTCCGGCTTATACAGAGTCGACCACCGAATACGCTCGCTATGTTATTGCTCGCGCTGACCACGTCCGTCACAGCCGATTGACGGCTTCTCAACAAACGCAGAAGCACTGTTACTACGAGCGACATCGCGAAGAGCAATTTCCTGCGGGTTCCCTCATTCTTCTCTGTTCCCCAGCGCAACGTGTCTACCTCTCTGAGAAGCTTGTAGGCCAAAAGTCGGCTGAATCCCTGAGAGAGCAAGAAAGCAGGCAGAAGCAGCGTTAGAAACATGACCTTTACTGACCGCGCCCAAGCTCCACTGCCACGGCGGCCGTTTTTCCCGTGCCTGCGTGAGCTCGTGCGCTCAAGCACCAAAAACCAGGGCGATACAAAGCTACTTCCGCGGTTCTTAGAACAGTTCACAAGACACATTTTGCAGACGTTTCGTACGAAATGTCCCAAATAATCCCACAAACCCGTCGCCCCTGTTACCTCATGGCGTATCAATTGAGGCTGAAGCGCTGCCACCTTCTTTATACTGTAACCACACAGATGCGCCGGGTAGGCGCTTTTGCCGCCTGGTGTTGTGTTAATTGCGAGATTTTCGCTATCAGTGTATAGTGGGAGAGATAAAAAAGTCACAGCATATTCACGGGGTGATGGATGACAAGTGGGCGAAGCTGCGGAAGGAATCATCGGTAAACTGTGAATCTTCCGTGTTCGATTCGCCCAGTCGATCATCGTGTAAGACATGAGAAACACTGTGTGTGTACGTACACAAATCAACTTTTATTTGTTCTTAGAGACAATGGATGGCTTGCGATGTCCCTTCATAATGACGGCTTGATGGTCCGTGAAATGAGGGGTGAGCGGTTCCTGTATAGGTTGCAGTGGAAAATTTGCAAATATTAAGTCTATGCATGTTCATCGGATCGTGGTAGGTTTTATATGGTCAAAAAATATACATCTGAGTACATATCTAGAAGCCATATGCTCCGTGCTTCCATCTGCCCGTGCGTTCTTGCTTTCGTCCGTCCGCACGACCATCCGTACATCAATCCATGCGTCCGCCCGACTGTCCGTGCGTCCATGCGTTAGCTCGCCCATCCGTCTGTCCGTCCGTTCGTACGTCCATCCGTTCGTACGTCCATCCATCTGTCCGTTCGTCCATGCGTCCGTCCGTCCGGTAGTGTATCTAGTAAACTCTACAAGTACCGCCATTTTCCATCTCGCAACCCCTGTGGCACATACCCGCTCTAAAGCGCATACCCGCTCTAGAGCGGGTATGTGCCACTGGTGGATACATACATACATACATACATACATACATACATACATACATACATACATACATACATACATACATACATACATACATACATACATACATACATACATACGGAGGAGGAGGAGCGAGAGACCCACTCCATAAGGAGCTTCACTCTTAAAAGGCACCGACAAGGGAGTTGATGTTGACGTTCGGGTGTGAGCCGTATACTGTGGCTTACGACTGACTTAGTGTTATTACCATGTATCATAGTAATCAGTGCGTGGAAGGTTATGTACATCAGTATCTTCACAAAATATCTGCGTTTCCTGATCAAAACGGACTTGTAAAGCATGCGGTGCTGTGTGGTTGGAGGCAGTCACAACCCTCCCCTGCCCCCGTACCTAAATTGATGACTCCTCTTCTCCGCGTCGAAACAAGCAGGTACAAAAAAAAACAAAAAGGTTTAATTTTAACATCCCGTTTATTTTCAGTCGAATAACGCGTTCACGTGCTTGTTCATCTCAGCATAGAACTTATACTGTCGACCAGGGAAAAAAAACGTTCACAAGACACATTTTACCCCGATAAACCAGACTACGTGCAAAGCTTGCCGCCAAGACAGCATACACAATACATCGCTTTCGAGATTACATAGCGGCGACCCCGATGTCGGAGGGCACGTCTTCGAGACTTGTCCCGCTTATCACCTACTAAAGCCAGGGTGAGACGGTATCATTACAAACCGATGGCTCCAGCTACAAAGACCTTAAAACGCGTGCATATAGGTCCACTGCTTGTTGATTGCGTGGAACACGCGAATTTCTTGCGCGTAGTAAATGCCCACATCTTCGTTGACGGCAGCCTGGAGGTCTGGCTCGCGTAGCAGGCAACAGATGGAGAGCAGCAGTCGGCCCACTGTCGTCTGCGGCGACCAGTTTCAGTGCAGTTTGCCAAGAGAGATGTCACCCTCGTCGCTAACGTTCGGATGGTAGATTTTGGTCGTGAAGGTAACCTGCGCAACGAGGCATCTGTTTTGCATCTGTACGCCACGATCGAGAGCCATTCGTAGATCTTCTCACAAGAAAGTGTATAGTCGCACAGTTGATGACTGCTAAGATGTGAAGTGTTGGATGCATCACATTAGTACACTTCTTTGCCATTCCTAGCGGCAAAGAACCGCAATAAGAGAAGTATACTAGGGCGATAATCCTTTTTTTTTTGAAAGTTTTACAACTTGGATATCTGTACATTCTGTACGTACATGCACACGTACAAGCACATATCCTCCCCCTCCCCCCACTCCAAAAAAGGTGGCTACGCGCCGGAAACTTACCTATCGGGGGGGGGGGGGGAGTGGTTATGTTGTAAGAAGGAAAAGAAAAGTGAGCCCCGTAACTGTCTGTTTCAGAGAGTGACACCTCAACAGTAGCTCTCAAGGGATGGGGGTGAGGAGGGATTAAAAGGATAGAGATAAAGGTGTAGAGAGAGAGAGAAAGAGAGATGAAGTAAGCGTGAAAGCGTGAGAGCGACGACATATCGAGGGGATAGGAGAGATAGGAAAAATGGGAACACGGTCACAGGAGTGCGAGGACGGGGCAACACTTGGGAGAGCTCTTGTCGGCGTCAGGAGATGGCGTAGAGCAAATCCAGTCGGTCAGAGCTACACTGTCGTTGGAGGTCGGCGTCAGGAGATGACGTAGGGCGAGCCCAGTCGGCCAGAGCCACGCTGACGTCGGAGATCGCGAGGACACAACCGGTCGGCACGGAGTCCAGCGAGCGAGTCCTTACCTATCGAAATTTCGTGCATGTCAGAAAGGGACACAAGGTGTCAGCTGGAATCAGTAGAAAACCGGATAGACATGGCTTCGCAGAAAACCTAGCCGGTTATAAGCACCCCTAACAGGAAAAGAAAAAAAAAGCGTGCTTCTTTCTGGGTACTTTGGCGTGTACGTTTTTCTAAATCTCAATTTCTGCCAAGATGTGCATGCAATGCACGATTTTCACAATGACACAGCAACACAGGAATGGTGCCAGAGGATTGGGAAAAGTGGGGGGGGAGGCTTTTTTCTTGAATATCTATAGCGATCGCCCACCTTCCGCAAAAAAAAAATGTCACCAACGATTACAATATTTCAATAAAACTTCTCTTCTGTCCAGTTGGTTCATAATTCCCAAAGTACTTTCACTGCGCAAGTGCAAGAACACACCTCAAAGAAAGACACGATCGACACACACCGCGCTTGTAGTGTATCTTTTCACTGTAAAAGTACTTCTAGGATTACGATATGCCTAATGCGAAATCTGAGTGCAGCTTTGAGCAAAACCAGTGGCGGGGCCAGGTGTTGCTGGCACACCGGATTCGTGGCACACCTTCAATTTCGTTTTAGATGCAAAGCAGCTTGTGAACGAGGCCTGTCACGCCATAGCCGCCGCTGACAATGATGCCAATGAAAAAGAAGTGCGTCCGAGATCACATTTTCTGCCATCACGGCACATTATATTGTCACGTTCCATTCTCCAAGATTTGTTATCGTCCCAAAACACTACAAAATTCTCAGCGCAAACCGCGCCTGCAGTTTTCGAGAAGCTTCCGGACTGTAGTAGATCATTTCGATAAGATCACACCCACTCTGCGAACTGTACAGATTATTCTGGAACCTACGCCACCGCCAGCGATAACGCTAGAACATTCGACGGCAATAGTATAAATGCCGATGCGCTTCGCCGCTTGTCAGTTGTTGATTGATGGCCGATGCTCCGTTCGTGGCTATCAGCCCAAGACTGCTACTGTAGTCCGACTTTCCGTTTACTGGGCACAGGTTCGCCCAAATAAACAATTTATTATTCGACTCGCAGTGTGCTCTATTCGTCCCCGTCACGACCCCGTGACATCTGGTGGAGCTGCTGCTTCGTTCATGTATCGGACGCCCCGGTCAAACCGTGAACCCAGCCCGCGTCGCGGAGAAGACACCGACGCCAACCAAGAGCAGCGAACAAGCCGCCGACAGCAAGGTCTCCCACCGGAGTACGGGCTTCTACAAGACAAGGCGCGGAAGACCAAGGCCATGACCTCGACTGCAGCGACAATGACAACCACAGCGTCCCAGCCCGCGATCGCCATTCATCAACCCAGGGAACCACCAACGTTCCATGGGTCATCGTTTGAAGACCCGGAAACCTGGCTAGAAACATACGACCGCGTGGCCTCCCTCAACCATTGGGACAACAAAGAAAAGCTCCGTCGTGTGTACTTCTACCTGGAAGACACCGCAAGGACCTGGTTCGAGAATCGGGTGTCCACGCTCCGAACGTGGGATGTCTTCTGCGGCGCATTCCTGCAAACGTTCGCGAGCGTTGCTCGCAAAGAGAGGGCCGCTGCTCTACTAGAGACCCGGGTTCACCTACCAAATGAAGAGGTTGCAATTTTCAGAGAGGAGATGACCCGCCTATTCCGTCACGCTGACCCAGTCATGCCTTATGAGAAGAAAGTTTGTTTCCTCAGGCGAGGGGTCAAACAGGAGCTCTTCGCAGGACTAATGAGGATTCCACCGAACACCGTCCAAGAATTTGTAGCCGAAGCGACCACTATCGAAAAAACCCTGGACATGCGCACCAAACAGTATAAATGTTGCCTGTCTCCAGAATGCGATGCTGCTCAGGCCAGTGACTCCGAAGACCTGCGTGAAACGATCCGAGCGATCGTGCGAAAAGAGCTGCGCAAGCTGTTGCCTTCGGCGCAGCCTCAAGTGGATTCGTTCACCGACATTGTGCGAGAAGATCGGCAATCGCTTCGAATTCCCCAAACACCGCTGCCCGAGCCAGAAACTATGAGCTATGCCGCTGCAGTGTGCCACAACGCTCCTCCCCGTCCACACCAAAACACCGCCCCGTCGCACTTCCGTCGCCAGACGCCACCACCCCCACCGACGTCCTACCGTTCGCTAGCGGGCCAGCGCAGTGCGCCGAGGAAAACGGACGTTTGGCGTGCACCTCACAACCGCCCGCTCTGCTACCACTGCGGCGAGGCCGCACACATACCGCCGTGGCCAGTACCGACAAATGGGACTGCGTGGCTTCGCCGTCAATGCACCGCGTCCACAGCCAGGAGAAGGGCCACGTGACATTGCCGACTACCTGACAGGAACTCAATGGGCACCACGAAGTCCTTCCCGTTCGCCGTCGCCCAGCCGCCGCATGTCACCGCCCCCCGGCAGTACTCTGGCCCAACGTGGGGCCGATCTCCTAGCCCGTATCCGGGAAACTAAGGGCAGCGACCGATGGAGGTGTGGTTGGTGTGCGACGAACTACCCAAGATCCTCCTGCGACGACGACGCCGCGATGGAGCTTTCCGAACACAACGCCTACCAGGCAAAGCCCTGACGGCGAAAGCTCACTTACCGAAGGTGGCCTGACGACGCAACATGGAAGCAGCGGAACAAGCCGGCGCAGCCGTGACCCGACACCACGCCCTAACTGTATTGCTAGACGGCGAAGTAGCGACCTCGACATTCTTATCGACGGCCACAGTGTGACCGTTCTCATCGATACTGGAGCCGACTACTCCGTCATCAGTGGGTCGTTCGCCGCGAAGTTAAAGAAAGTTAGGACAGCTGGGGAAGGCCCTGAAATTCCCACAGCCGGAGGTCATCTCGTAATGCCTGCAGGAATCTGCACAGCGAGAGTCACCATTAATGGCCGTATTTATCCTACAGACTTTGTAGTCCTATAGCGTTGCTCGAGAGATGTCATCCTTGGCATGGACTTCTTATGCCTCCATGGTGCTGTCATCAACCTAAGAACAAAGTCGATAACGTTATCCACAGAAGAAGCACTACCGCCACGCACGCCGTCAGGAAACCATGCCTTGAATGTGCAGGAAGAACAAGTCAATATTCCGCCTCGCTCAAGCGTCATTATTTCAGTCGGCGCTCCTAAATCACCTGACTTGGAAGGCGTCGTTGAAGGCAGTCAACATCTGTTGGTCACCCGAAATATTTGCGTCGCAAGAGGAATTGCAGAGCTGCGGGGAGGCAAAGCAACGGTTATGCTCACGAATTTCAGCAATGAGTACAAACATGTGAACAAAGGAACAACGGTCGCATACATCGAAGAAATTGTGGACGCCACCAGTGCTTTCGCCCTCACCGATTCTGCGGAACCTGCTCAGAGGAACGAAGCCCCTCCCACAGCTTTCAACGTCAATCCCGGACTTCCGAACCATAAACAAGAACAGCTCAAGGCCCTGCTCCTGCAATACGAAGATTGCTTTTCATCGTCATCAAAAATTCGGCAGACCCCAATCACGAAACATCGCATCCTAACCGAAAAAAATGCCAGACCACTCCATCAGAGTCCGTAGAAGGTTTCGACGCGAGAACGTGAGGCCATGAAGAGACAAGTTGATGAGATGCTGCGGGATGACATCATCCAGCCGTCCAAGAGTCCATGGGCATCCCCCGTGGTGTTAGTGAAGAAAAAGAATGGGACCCTACGTTTCTGCGTCGATTATCGCCGCCTGAACAAAATCACAAGAAAGGACGTGTATCCTCTCTTACGAATAGACGACGCACTTGATTGGCTCCATAACGCCAAGTACTTTTCCTCAATGAACCGCAAGACTGGCTATTGGCAAATCGAAGTCGACGAAAGAGACCGAGAGAAGATGGCGTTTATAACACCGCATGGCCTCTTCGAGTATAAGGAACCTTTGAACCTTTCAGCGCTCGCACTGACATCTTTCGGTGGTCATTTTTCCCGGATGCTATAAAACAATGGAAATCTTTACTTCAACATATTTATAATAGTACCGATGTACAAACTTTTGACAGAGAAATCGATGCTTGTTTTGGTAATGGTTGAAGTACTACCCCCTTCTGTTTTCCTGTGTTTATTGCTTAGTGGTTTTTTTAGGTGTTCTGTTTGTACTCATATTGTACTCCCTCCCTGTTATGACCCTCAAGCGAGCGTTGACAGTATTAATAAATAAAAAATAAAAAAAATAAAGAGGTGATG